CAAGATGACAAGAGTAAGGGCAAGGCGGTTGTGCAACCTTATACATCCGGTATCCCGATGTGCTCACAATGTGGGAGACGTCACTTTGGCGAGTGTAGATTGCTCCAGATTACTTGTTTCCACTGTGGAAGGGCGGGACATTATAAGAGCGATTGTCCCGAGTTAAAAAGAGAAGCACCTAAGAGGATTGAACAAAGACCAGTTCATCAACAACCAGCTGCTAAGAGACCAGCGGTGAAGCCTAGGGTCTATGCTCTAGGAACTGAAGAGCAAGAGGAAGAAGAAACGACAGCAATCAAGGAACTGAAGAGCAAGAGGAAGAAGAAACGGCAGCAATCATAGGTATGCCGATATTTCATTTAAATATGATAGGGAATCGTAACAAACATGGCTAGTTAAGACTAATTTTAAATGTAGGTGTTGTTAATTAGTTATGGGTGTAATTCATTGGACATATCATTTCTTCTCTTAGGTATGTTGAGTATTGGAGGTGAACAAGCTCATACCCTTTTTGATACAGGGGCGACACATAGTTTTGTTTCGCCCACACACGTAAATCGCATGAAGATTGCACCTGATATTAATAGTGGTAGAGTATTGGTCCATACACCTGGTGGAGAGGAAATGGAATCGAAAGGAATGATTCGTGATGTATCGGTTCTGATTGGTATACATGACTTACCTGTTCATCTAATAGTGGTACCAATCCAGGGATATGATGTGATATTGGGTATGGATTGGTTATCAAGTCATCGAGCTCATCTGGATTGTAAGAGAGGTAGAGTTCGTTTTGAACAAGAGGGATCTTTGGTACTAGAGTTTGAGGGTGTAAGAAAGACTTCAAGTTTGCCTTTCATTTCAGCAGTGCGGGTAAACCGGCTAATTCAACAAGGGAGTGAGGCGTATTTAGCGGTAATAGAATTAAACGAACCGAAAATATCAAATAGACTAGAGGATATACCGGTTGTTAATGATTTTCCTGATGTTTTCCCGGAAGATCTACATGGGATACCTCCTCTAAGAGAAATATCTTTTCCTATTGAGTTGAAACAGGGAGTTGAACCTATCTCTAGAGCCC